TAACTCTGAAACTTAATGGAGGCCATAGAGCATGCCCTTTGCCAGCTGGGAAATTATAAGTGAGGGCAGAGCCTAGGAAGGGTATTACTTTTCCCCTATTTAGCTCAGGATCATCACTGCTTTAGGCAGAGTTTTGTTTATCTCTAGCCCCTTAGGGGTAGTACCACCAACAAAAGAAGGAATTCTTCTGTGTGAGTTGGTCTTCCAACCTCCTTAGCCTTGATTCAGGGAAAATAATTGTTCCAGCTGCATGTTAAGCCCCCACTGATCTGACGATGGACAGGTAGGAGAGGTTGGTTTCAAGGAGAGGTTGGTTTCAGCTGGCATTTACAGACTGCATGGAAGTGTTGCTGCTTTTTTAGTAAAAAAAGCAACTATTCCAGCATCGCATGCAAATGGACAAGTAGGGGTGTGTGTGTATACACACAACTGTGTTGGGGAAAGTATTTTGACAAATTTCCAGTTATTTACTTTTCCAGAAAACATTCATGCGTTAATACACAGCTTAGGCAACACAGAACATCAGTAAGCCGCAGCACAAGACTGCTGTGAAAGTTGGGACTCAGCCACAGCCTAGGAGCATGGAGTACTTGGTAAGCGGGGATGAGGCGCATCACCGACGTGCTGCCCCTACAAGGCACACCCATGAATGATCCCATTGCAAGGCACACCCTTGCCTCTGCAATCCACTTTCTTGGCTTCTCCTTTTTCCTGCATTACCATTTCACAGGTTATTTCCTTCTGAGGTACACACATCTGGACTATCAATCTCATCTCTATTAGAGAGCCGTAGTTCTTCCACCACATCATTGTGCATCTCCTAGCAGGGAAGAAAGTGACACCGAGAGCTCCTTTCCCTCCTTGTGTGGGGGATTTCTGGAGGGCTGTGACACACCGCTCGGCCTTTTTCCCCCTCTGCACACCCAGCTTCTGCAGTCACAAAAGCATCTCTAGCTTGTTTCTTACCAAGTATATTAGTATAGAGAGCAACATTGGTGAATATCGAGGTTCAGTAGCTATAGACAAGTCTCTCTTTCTCCTCTCCCTGTCTGCAGCACTGTAAACCAAGGACAAGCAACGCTAGCAACTGCAGCAAACCGGTGGTCAGGCTGCCTGCCCTTTTGCTTTTTATGTAAGGTAACCTGCAAGACAGAAAAATGGGCGTGTGTCTGTGTGCTTTCTAAGGACATGTAAAATAGCTTGAGGCTTTTGCTGTCCTGTTAGTTTGGGTTTAGGATTGGTTTGTTTATAGTTTGACTTCTTAAAAATCATTGTGAATGCAGCCATGATATGCATCTGTCTGCCCAGCCTTCTGGACACATCACTGCAGAGTTTAATCTCTCGCCCAATTTTGGTTCACTCTGAGGTGGAGGTCTCAAGGATGTTAAACTCCATGTGAAAGACAAGCCCTCAGGGTGCAGGGTGCACTTTCATGGCACTTGTGCTGTTCCTTTACAGGAGGCACAACCAAAAAGCTCCTGCTAGCTCTCCCGCTGCAGGGCTGGGAGACACGATGTGTTCACCGCAGACCTTGCACAAACCCCTTGAATTAGTGCTGCAGCCATACCTGTCTGGTCAGAGTGCAGCTACCGCAGAGGTCAGTGTCCTGCAGCTTTTGAGCCGAGCCAGGGATAAAAATGCGCATGTAAACCCAACATCAACTGACATCCTCTCCCATGAAGGCTGGCTTTGGGGTTTCTTGCCCTACTTAACCTGTGTGGTCTTCTCATGTGAGAGAGAATCACAAAGACCCTTTGTAAAACAGTGAACTCGGTGGTGCTCCTGAGCTCCGGGGCTGCATGCATGCCACAGCAATTGCACCCTGACCCCCCATTACAGTGAGGTCTGTGTGTAAACCTGCCTTTTCTTCCTCTGCTTTTACACCTTGGTTTCTTTGAGAAAAAGTCACAGCCTGCCCAGGGCTCAGGAGGGAGAACTGGTGAGCTCAGGCCAAGTCACGAGCAGGATTCTCAGGTGCAGGACACTGGGGAAGCCCATGGCACATACCTACTGCTCAGTATGGACACAGCCACAGAGGGGCCCTAGTACAAAAATGCATTGCTACAGGAACAGCGGGAATAGACTTTATTTAATAATTTGTACTAGGAACACAATAGTAATTCAATAGTTCCATTTATTAATTGTCAAATAGTAATCCACTGCAATAAGAAACAAAAAATCAACACAAAAATAAGTTGTGGTTTGTGTGTGTGTGTGTGTGCGCACGCGTGTGTGTGTAACTTAAAATGGCAAGAGCAAGAATGAAAAATAAACCTTTAAATACGTATGTTATATTCAGTCAGTATCATCATGTTACTTTGCTGGATAGGTTAATTTGGTGTTATCCAATCTTAGCAACAGGCCTAAATATTGCTGCAAATAACTGGTGGGCAAACCCAAAGCAGAAAAACAAACCCATAAATAAGATGCAGGACTAAAGGTATCTCCTGCAGAAAAGAAACAGTGGTGTTTTGTGTCATATCTGAAACTTTCGTAATGGATGTTTTGTGCTAAAACACTTCATGTGAACATACATGGAATTCCATCATTTAAATAAAAGTGGAAAAAAATTCCAACCTTTCACAACTGCCTTTTTTTTCCCTCCCTTCAATCGGTGTGTTTAAATTACTTTTCTATACAAGGTAAGTACATTGTCTGTACAAAGTTAATATACATATTTACAGTCAAACTTCTGAGACACTGAGTCTTCTCTTCCGCTGACCTAGGCGGAAGAGAAGCCTGCTTGATTTCAAACCCAGGAGCATGGCTAGTTTATCAAAACAATTGCAAATCGTGCTAATAGTTAGTCGTAGTTACTCATAATAAATCTGTATAAAAGCATCAGCATAAAAATAGGTATTTTATATTATTAAATACGGCTTATGACAAAATAGCAATCTAACCTTTTGCTATTTGTACGGTAACTGTAGGAAGCAGAGTCTGATAGAACCAGTTTTATTTATACTTTTTCTTAATAACAAAATGTCTATCAAAAGAGTATTCACTGTGGATTTACAGGCCAGCAAGCCATGTTTTTTTCTTTTCCTCAAGGAAATATGACTCTGTGTAACTGGTAGTAACTGCTGGCAACAGCTTTCCAAATTGATTAGACATTTTTGTATAACTAAGAGGCAGCCAAAATGCATGTACTTATTTGAGACACACCATCAACACTTTAACCAAAAAGAAAAAAAAAAAGGCACCCTCAGTGATATGTTGCTCAAATTTCTCAGAGCCTCTAAGATTTAATGCCAAGAAGGAAGCAAAGTCTTTATCCCCAAGAGTATGTTTCAAAAAGTGTGCAATCCTTTAAGGCCAGCAACAGGGCAGGAGGAGCAAAGAAAGTGAACAGCTGTAGGGCTCAAACAGGACTTGCTCTCATGAATGTTGTGTTTATCAGTTCTATGTGCAGATAAATGTCAAAGCCAGGCTGATTTCTCTTTAAAAAACATGACTCAGTTTGTTTTGATGCACACAATACACTCACACACACACACACCCTGCACAAAAGAAAAAAAACCCTTCAGAGATGGGTAATATGTTATTAAAGGGTTTGGGATTTTTGTGTGCTTGCATCATGTTTTGGCTGACCTCTCTGGATTAAACCACCAGTGCCAAACTTATTTTCCACAAAGAGCTTTACAGTTTAACCATACCACAGCTGTCCTCCGCCTGTGCCGGATCTTAAGGTGCATGACCTGAAGGAAGGGTTTTCTATGGAAATGGAAGGCAGAGTGAAGTGAGTCTTCAGCAAGGTAGAAACTGAGAAGAAAGCCTGTCCTCCCTGACCTTGCCAGTGAACAGGAGCAGCTGCAAAGCCGTGTACTGCCCCAAAGCATTATCATAGCTCAACACACAAACAAAACCTATACCATGTGCTTCCCTGAAGCCTTCTCAGAGATAGATAGTCCATACAAATCAAGATTATCACCAGAACTCCTGTTGGGGAGGGGAGAGGAATACACAAAGGCAGCACTGTAAACTAGAAACTGTCTCTTCTTCAGCAAACAAATCACCCCCTGAATCTGTGGAAGCAGGGCTACACATTCAACTCAATACTGTACCACATAACCACATCCTCTTAACACATCTCGTCTCTTCTCTATTACATTCATAAATTGTCTGTTTCTTCACCGTTTAAAAACACCATCCAGAAAACAACGGCATCACTGTTGCCGTGGGATCACTGTTATTTTACAGGTACAGAAGCTTCACGTAGTTGCCTGGGAAGGTGCCAAATTGCTTTGTTCTCCTGGACGTACCTGTCACAAAATAAAACACAAGGAAGCCAGAGTAAGATGGAGCCACACAAGGAAGGCTTAGGAGTTTAAAGAGGTAGAGGTGGCAGTTCTTCTGCCCGCAGGCATCGCTTTCTAAAACTAAACAGGGGTCCTGGTCAAAGAGCCTTTTGGTACAGAAGAGATCACAACTAGTTCTGCTACTAATCATCTTTAGCTTTCCCTTTGAACAATTAAGGTGCTGGTGAAAGCTCCTGGGCCTGTAGGCTAGGAGCCAAACTCCTATCAGTGTAAATGAGCTAATCTCCCTTAAGACGAGATAACAAGCCTAGATTTGCAGTGTTGAGATGGAGAACACCGTCCAGACTTGCATTCTTTGAAGGTAAAGGACTAGATTTTGCTGAACATACAGCCACAGATGAGGCTGGATTTTCAGCTCTCATCCATGTGTTGCCTTTATTCCCTACTTGTTACTTTCTGTAACTTGCCATGGCTCCCTCAGCTTTGGGAAAGCTACAGAAATCCAGTTTTCTTTTGTTCCCTCTGTTGCTCTGCCATCTGTCTGAAGAAGGATCAGGAGAAAGAAGAGAACAGGGAAATTAAGAAGAGAAAAAAGGAAAAAACTAGAGACCTACCAAAGAAAACAAGGCTCCACCACCCTGGACCCTAATTTTAACATTCTTGGTGGGAAAAGATTAGGAATTGTGAAAAAAGTTGAGTTTATTTTTGCAACATTTTGACCCTGCAATGAAAGCAAGTTTCAGATGCTCTGCAAAATTGCTCATCTGCATCTCAAAAAGCTCTGCTGACAGGCAAGTGTCATACTCACCCACAAACCAGCCGTCGTCACATTTCTCCATGACATCAACAATGTCACCATCCCTCAGTTCTAGCTCATCATCATTCTGAGGAGTGTAGCTGTAGAGGGCTTGGTAGCTAACTCTAAAACCAGAAAGATACAGCATGTTAGCCAGTGGATTTCCCTGACATACCTTCAGAAGGGGACGTCTCTCTTCCCCTCTCTAATTCCTATTATATTATGTTCAATGCAGTCTGGACCTGCGTTTTCCATTTGAGAGGTGGAAGCCAACAGCATTAAATTGGTTGTTGTCACAACGTGATGGCAGTAAAAAGTGCCATGCCTGCACTGTGTGGGATATGCAGAGCGCTTCTGTTTCCTTTTTGCTATGTAGTTTTCTCCACAGACTGTAACAACCAGAGTCTTCCTAACATGCAGCACCTAGAGAGTGTATGAGTGCTGACACCCTACTGAATGCAAGCCAAAACACAGATACACTCATTCCTGGGCTAAATGAGACACCTGTTCTCTTGCCCAGGCACATGACCAAATAGCAGAGCAAAGGACTTTAGAAAAAGATACTGCTTACTCTACTGCATCAAGGTTGCTGGATAAATCGTGGCTGAGGAGGTATGGTGCAAAAAAAATCTAAGTTTGAATCCTGCCCTGAGATACCACTTGCACCAGAGGCACTCTGTATTTATCAGAAAGGAACCTTATGGAGTAGAAACAATCTTTGGGCAAATTTGGGAAGGCTTGGATCCCCTGCCAGTGGGGAGTGAAAATAAAGCTGATGTGAGACTTTCCATTCTGCATAAAGGGGTGGGGGAAAGCAAAGGCTTCTTTCAGGAGCCAACTGCCAAGGAACTTCAGTCCCCAGCACACAGTGCAGGCTACTATTCTCAAAACCATCAGTGAAAGGGCCCACCAAGCTTAATGGCAGCTCCAGGTTTAAATCCACCGGACAGCTTTGAAAATCTCAGTCTTGGTCTCTCAGCTCATTCAGCCACCAATTCATCTGCTGAACTGGCCAACAACACACCAAGTGGCACTGGTGTTGGGACAGCCCACTCTACTGTGAGGGCTGAGAACACTGACCCATGCCATATGAACCAGGCATAGCCACTGGATATTAATTTGTCTCGAGCTTCAAGATACAAAGACATTGAGATAGTCTCCAGCAAGAATCAAGTGCCCAAAGGAGACCCAGTCCTGGATCATGAGGTCACTATTTCAGGTGCTATAGACACACAAATGTCCCAGTTTTGAACTACTCATTATGTTGATATGTGGCTGGTTTTGTTCTTTAAAGAAAAGTTAACACCTTCCCATAATTCTAACTTAACTCCTGAAATGCTGAGGCTTTCACACCTCCCCATCTTCACCACTGGCACAAGGCCCCTGAAAGAGACAGGAGCCAAAAGGACTTACATGTCTCGTGGCGTTTGACTTCTGTCAGGGCTGGCTCCTTGCTGCTGTGCTTGAGGTTGCTGAGAAATGATGAGAGATGGTTTATGGTCATTAGAGGTCACCTTGTGGCGAGAGTCAAGAGGCTGAGAAATAGTACTGCAGTAATGAACAGACTTTTCTGCAATGTTTATGATCTCATTGCAAACAGCTTCCTGCGTGGTAGGCAGCATTGACATCCAAGAACACCCAAAGGACAGTCAACAGGGGGGAGGGAGGGGAAAATATAGACAAGAAGAGATGGGACATTCCAAATGCAGCACATAAGTCCAGTAAAAAAAAAAAAAAAAGTTGTAGATCCACGTAAATATCCAGGCAGTGGAGTGCAGAAGGGATCCAGGTGTAAGCATGAAAAAACAGGCAAGATACAGAAGAATTTGACATTAAGTTTGAAGATTTGGAACAAATACATATACATATATTTTTAAAAGCAGCAGCATAAGAGGTTGCAATTAGTTATGCAGTGGCACCATTACAAATGCTATGAAGTCAGTTCAAGAATGCAAGGCGGGCCGCTCCATTCATGCATTTTGCTTCATTTAACTTATACCCAGGGACTGGCAGCACAATTAGCCCAGCTTCTCATTGGCTATGACAGCTTTTCTAATTGATAAATTCCCTTTTCTGTTGCAAACAAAACAATATATGCAAATAAATATGTACCTACTTGCAGCTAAAAACAGTGCTGGCATTTTATCTCTGCTGAGGTGTTACTGTCTGAGTGAAGAGAGTCTAGGACTACACATCTGATTTAAACAGTGGCCTTACCACATAGCTCTTTTCAGACTCTGTGAGATCTGGTCCAGCTCTCAATGAATGGTGGGAAGGCTGTGTGATCACCAAGCAAATGATAAGGAAGACATTTTAGCAGATGTTATATTGGTCAGAATGAAAAAAAAAAAAATGGAATGCAGACAACATAAGAAAATGAACAACTTTTCCCTCCCCACCCCAACACCACACTTCTTGGATGACAAGGTCTTTCATATACACAAGAGACGTTAAGGCTACCGTCATGCAACCACACTGCAGCACACAGAATGCTGCAAAGGGAAAGGCGACAGTGGAACAGAAGCTCAGAGCAGGGAATCAGAGTGGAACCAGAAATGGTAAGTAGTGTCATACTGCATTCCTGTTGGGGGAAAAAAACCAAGGAGAGAAGCACATACTTGAGAGCATCAAACTGGAAAGGCCAAAAGCATGCTGAGAGGAATCTGCTGCTGTTTTTAGAGAAGTCCTCCATGACTTTGACACGGGAGAGAACAGTAACTCACTTGCTTCTTAAAAAAGACCAGCTCAGGTCCTCAGAAGGCACAATGTCATGTAGCCCCATCAAAATTACTCCAGCTTGTACCAAACAAGGATCTGAGCTGCTTTGTTAATTCCCGCAACAAGGCTGAGCTTCAGGTCAGAGGAGGCTCTGACTGGAAAACTCAGCTCCAACCACCACCACTTGCGAAGCTTCTGGACTCTTCCTCACCTCCCTCCCTAGTCACAGCTCTTCACAAGGACTCGTGTGTCCCAGGGCACAGCAAGGAAAGTCAGGGTGTTTGGGGTTGGAGATTTTATGAGGAAAAGGAAGATCATGGAGAAAGTCGCACAGATATCCTGAGCCTGGGTTTGCACACTTTTTGCATATTCAGACACCTACTGAAAAAAAGCAAGGGGCACACTGTGAGCAAAGGGGATGCCTGAACTAGCATAGGGCTATTTGTACTGCCTGCAGGATTGCTCAGCAAAGCGGACTGGATACGATACAGAGCATTGCCATCCTCTCTGTTCATTCAACACAGTTTTCGACCCAGATTCCCAAGGCTTCAATTTTTATGCTTTCCCTCTTCCTCTTTATTCACTTCAGCAGTGCCCTTCAGTAAAAGTCCTGCTTTCAGAGGATAAAGGAGTTTGTGATACCTTCAGCCCAAGCATGCTCAAAGAGTTTGGAAAAATGCAGGGTGATGAGCTCATCCCTGTCTAACTCCTGTTCTCAAAGCTCTTCTGAACCACATCTTGGACCTCTGTAGCTGTGCCCATCATTGTATTAAAGCAAACCATCTCTTTTCTCAAGGACTGTGATTCACACTAGGCCAACCCAACCCCACAGCAGCTCCTTTGGACTCAGCTGTACTGTCTGGGGCTGGAGTCCGGGATCACTGCCCTAAGAAACAATGCTCTCTTACCATGTATATTTCTATTGAGAGAAAATTAAATGTAAGTTGGATGGGCTAATTACAGTGGAATTCGCATTCAAAGGATTTACTGTGGAGCCTGAAATCATCACAGGATTTCTGGAAGTCATTCCTGCCTATCATCAGCAGCCCTGAAAGGCAAATTGTGCACACCAACTGGATATAATTTTAAATTTCTAATTATTCAATGTTAGTGCACCAAAACTGATGAGATCAGAGCTAACTCAGGTCGTCAAGTAGATGGGAAAACCAATTTCCACGCTGAAGTGAGAAGCAGCTGTAAGAATTATTTCATTTTTTTAAATTCAAGAAAGTGCTGTTCTGCTCCATACTAATAAATTGACTGCTGCAATTGCTCTATGAGCTCCTAAGACCACATGGTCCTTTTCTTATTGACTACTTGTGACCTGTCTGATCAGCTTCTCCTCCAAAAAGCATTAATAACTATGAATTAAATTAAATGTCTACATCTCCATGTCTACAGCCTACACAAATATATGGTACAGTCAGTCTGGCCACTGTTTCCACCCCATAGGGAGCTTGAGGACGGATCTAAAGAGCACCACAGGTTTGCAAGAACACCTGAAAAAGGTTCTATGTTAAGAGCCTAGAAAAGCCCTAAGGCACATCTTAACTGTTAGGAAGAAAGATGCTGAGGCTACTCAGTAGTGCTCTTCCTGCTTCTAGCTAAGTCAAGTATCATCAGCATGTCTATCCATTGCAGCTCATTTACATGTCTTCTTCCACCTCTTTCTGGTGGGAGTTAAAGGACTACAAAAGCAAAGAGAAAGCTAAGCAGAACAGACTAACAGACAGACACGACAGACAAACAAATTGGTATCCCCTCAGAGAAGGGCACACATCAGCAGTGATGTTCCCACACGTGAATGGAGAACCATGAGCAGGGAGGACCCCCCAACCCAGCGGAAAGAAAAAATGAAAACCTCTGCACACACCAAGTCCCAGCTCTGGCGAAAGCAAGGGGAAAGCTGGCCAAAGAGCTCTCACAAAAGACACTGAGAAGGCTGCAGTGAGGAGCAGCCTGACCTAAAGGCTGTCAAGGTTGACGGAAAGACTCCTCGGCCCCTGGATCAGAAGCCAAAGGCTACATCTACAGCAGAAAAATGCATCTCCCACAGGAAGCAGGTACCAATGCCTGCTGCAGGCTGTGCAGCTCTGGCTTGGACAGTGAACGTTCTGGGCAGAAATGCTGCTGTGCTGAACCTGTGGAGCAGCAGAAAACCACTGTGTGTGTCAGGGCAGGGGGGATGGCAGATAAAAATTTTACCTTTGGAGATGGTGCTAAGTAACGACTATGCTAAATAAGTGTAGATGGTCTGTGCTGGGGAACATGGGGTTTGAGCATCCTCCTCATATGTGTGGTTTTATACAAGTGGAAAGGAGCAGACAGCCCCCCAGTGACATCCCTCACACTGCTGGGCAATGCAGGAACCCTCCTCCAGCCATTCCTGCCTTCCCTACCCACAGCTGCAGCCTGGGCCCGGGGCTGAAGCTGCTGCACTGCTCACACACTTGCTAGGACCAACTCTGACTGTCACACTGTGCTAACAGGACCTCAGAGTAGAACAGAAACTAAACCAGAAAATTTCTGAGGGTCCCCTGAAATAGATTAACTTGCTTATATTACTACTTCATATCATGTTTTACTGGAATATTGAAAGACATTATCTGTAAGTTGTACTTAAAATATCTTTCACATGATGTGGGGTCATTCTTTTATCTTTTTTGTTTGGACTGTGAAACTAAATAAAAGGGAATAACTTCAGAATAACTGAAAGAGCCATTGCACTTTATATTATTTCTTAGCAGAACAGGCAAGAATATAGTCCTTACACCAGCCCTGTACCAAAGATGTCTTAAACTTGCAAAAAAACCTGGGTCAGAACTTAATAACTGGGGAGCTTATAATGAGAAAGAAAACTAGAAATCAAAATGCTAAAATACCTCAAACACCAGGGATGGACAGTAAAGGAAACAAAAACTAAATGTAATGCTTCATTTCCATGTCTAAGTGCTTTTCTTATTTGATTAAAGTCAATGAAAAGATGTCAGATTTTTGAAAAGGTCTTCAGGGTATTACCTGCAGTTCTGCTGAAGCCATCAGCTTCTGTATGGGTCACACAGATAACGAGAAGTCATTTGCACATAAATACCACCCCTGCTCCCTAAACAACTTTAGACCCTGGGTCTAAAGAAAAAGCTGGAAAGGAGGTCAAGACCACTGATAATGTCACACAGTTTTAACTTGACGCTGACAATGCTCCGATTGTCAAGGCATATAAAATATAAATTTTGGCTTGACTTCAACTCCAAAGAAAGGCCACAGGGTCCTATTACAACCAGGTGCAATACCCAAAATAGTACTGCATGCTAGTCAGCACCCGGGAGAAGCATCTTCCCCTAAATGTGGCTCTTTGCTCCTACTCATTTTAATCATATAAACCCAGCCCAAGCACCAGCAGGACCAAGTAGATCAGAGGTCAGGAAAAAGACCAACACAGAAAACTTCTGTGGATTTTTAACATGAAGCAGAATATGTATCCTGTTGGACTCAGATATTGAAACTAAAACAGAAGCAGGAGGTGGTTGTTCAGTGGAGAGTTGTGCAAGCTCTCTACTGGAGGCAAATGAGGTGAATAATGGTAACAGGAAAACTTCTGGGTTAAAGTTGTATCTCGCTCTCAAAAACTGATCAAGAAAATAAGTAACATCAGCAAGTACTTCCCACACTCATCCTGCATAAGCAGCCTGCCTCGTTCACTGGTCAAGCCAAACATTGCTTCCCCAATACCCATCCCTACAAAGTCAGTCCAGGTTTTGCTAATTGTGAGCTTTCTGTGTCAAATATTGCCATCTTGTGGAAGCTGCCTGGAAGGGCAGCTGTGAGCACTGCTCATTCCCAGACCCCGGATGTCCCAGCCACACAGTCCTGAGGCCAAGCTGGTTGAGCTGCACAGACCCTACCGCATCACTCTTTAAAGACAATTATAGGTCGCAGCAATAGAGCTGAGAACCTCTGAATCCCACCTGAGAAGGCTGGAACAGGTCGCCAACATTGTGGATACCAAGTTGTGTATGGCTTACCCCAGCTCCAAGATACTCAAACCCTGAATCCCCATCTCAGGTGGTTAAACAAAACCTGAACCAAAGTATCTCATGCTACAT